AGTTTAAAATCAATCCATAGTTTTGTATCTATCAGTTTGGAAGTTTTTCGTTTATTTCTCATATGTATCATACTTATAACAGGTTGATTTGACAAGCAATACTACTGCCGAACTATATCTCAAGTTACTCGCATTCACCACTCTAGTTTATAAAAATGAAGTGCTATTTAACTTCTTTTTTTCATATTGTTTTATGGACTGAAATCGAATAGTTGGTATGTTCGTATTAAGTCAGATTGTCATTAAATGAATTATTTTAAAACCTTGTGTTTGTTACTGCTAGAATAAGTAACTTGACTAGTTATGTGATATTACAGCTATTCGGAACCGTCTAATTTTTAGCGGTCCAGTTACTTTGGTTTATGCTGGAAATTCACTTAGAATGTAGTAGGAACTTCTTCATTCATAACTTAAAGTAAACCGTTTGTTGTATCTTTGTCAGAAAAGTTTGCATATGTAATTGGACAAATTCCGCGAGTTTCGTTCAGTTTTTGAAGGGTTTTGTCAACAGAAATGATAAATATCTAAGTCAGGACTATCTTTCAGTAAATATGCCAGGTTTCCGAAAGTGCTTCCCATATTTAGTTTTGTAAAAGGTTACTAAACAGCAATTACGACTTTACCACATATTACAAATAACCTTTGCTTCGATACCGGAAATACAAATTCGGTGGGATAAATTATCGTAAATGAATGGGTTTCTAACTGTTATTTGGAGTTGTGCCACATCCTAATGGAAAATTGTCAAAATGAACGAAACATTCAAATAAGAATGGCAGTATCATCGCTTCGATGTATTTCTGACAAAACCACAAGGTCATGTGGAACTTTGAGGTTGACTGGTAGACATTAACACGGGTAAAGGCATAAATACAGACATGAAAGCATATAAAATTGGGATGTTTATTTATTTATTTGAACACATAAATATTGGCACCAAATATATGTGCGCCACACAAAATGTGAATCCTTTGATTGTTAATCGAAGCAAGGAAAATATTTCTATATTTATCGACAGTTCATCATATTTGTGTGTGGGCTGTGATACTGCCCGGGTGCCCAGATCGAAGCAGATGGATTTTCCTGGGGGACTACACCCTGAGCCTTTGACCTAAAGGTCTTACCAACAAGGCAGTGGAGCATGGTGAGGAGATTCAGTCCCATGGTAGCCGGTGACCGAAAATTGGTTCATACGCCAATGCTTTTATATCTTTAACCAGTGTTAATGTCTACCAGTCAACCTCAAAGTTCCATATGACCTTGTGGTTTTGTCAGATATACATCGAAACGATGAAACTGCCATTCTTATTTCAATATTTCGTTCATTTTGACAATTTTCCATTATTTTTCAAACCTAAATGGCCTTCGTAGTTATGCTTTGCCACTGGTTTTTTTTGGCTTGTCATGGTTTCATTTTTTTATAAGTAGGCGATTTGATACACCTCCAATCAATAATTATGCAGCTGTTAAACGTAGCTCATGTTTTTGAATTTTTGAATCTAAACTGTTGAATTGTAAGTTCAAAGAGGGTTCCACTAATTTAGGCTTACATAAAACTATGTTATTACTATTCATAAAGCTTTACATAGTCATTAAGTTTTTTTATTATAGTTTAATGTCTGTCATTCACTTTTTATTCGAAAAATAACCTGACAGAGATTTTGGTACTGTCTGATTTAAACCACTTTTGTAACTTTGATCAAGCGACAAAATTCATATGTTTTTTACGGCTTTATATTTGCTCAAAATTGACGATAACGCTTTTGCGTTTTGATGGCAATTTCGTTTTTGTGGTGTTATCTGTCTACTGAACAGGGAATATTGTAGTAGTCATATGTTCGGCATGACCATTATGTTATGAAGCTGGATGACTCGATAACACGAAAATCAGCAACTAACTTTACATTTTCTCGTATTATTTTTTGACTCCACTGCTATAGAAGTCCTACTCGCTATCTTCACGCGGCTATATTGTTTACGGAATTTAGACGACAAATAGAAATCCGGGGCTTAAACCGGGTTGATGAGTTAGGAGGATCCACTCAGGGGCGTTGAAGAACCCCGATTCCAAAACAACCGAGTACATGGAGTTCAGAATCCTGAGGAAACAAATGGCATATGAAACTTCCCGATCAATGACTACCATGAGACCGCACCTCCTAACGTCGCTCCACTGTCTTTTAAATTCAGTCAGTCAGTCAGTAACAACGTAGAACTTCGTACGTACGTACATCAGTTCGAGTTGCCACACCACATTAACACAGAGATGCAGTTGTCGATTCAAATCCCCTAGTGGTAGAGGTATTACGAGTATAAGCAGTAATCGGGAAGATTAGGGTTTGGAGATGTTATTTAAAGAGTATAATCCAGTGAAATAAATTTGGAAAGAGGAAAAAAGGGACATGAAGAATTCAGAAGATTAGAGTTTGGGAGAACACAGAGAGTGGATGCACCTGCCCCATTGCAAACGATTTTGAGCCATGTCATTCAGGGTCTCTAACCATCGGTTGCTGTCATCTCGCGGTCCCCAACCAGGTAGTCTACACCTACCAACATGACTCAGTTCACTTGTCAGTGACTTCATGGAATTGTGCCATGTTTTGGTTTGGCCGCCCCTAGCTTTCTTCCAACATACTCCTATACCACTGAACATAGCACGTCGAGGCAGTCGGTCGTTGGGCATACGTAACACGTGTCCCAGCCATCTCAACTGATGAAGTTTCACTACTTCATCAATTGATTTGCCATCCTTACTTAGTACCCGTTTCCTAACAACTGCATTAGTTACTCGATGGTCCCATGATATACGAGCAATGTTTCGAAGACACCTATGATCGAATACTAGTAGCCTACGGATATCCTCTACTCTTACCGGCCATGTTTCACTGCCATAAAGTAGGACGGAACGAACTGCTGCGCAGTAAACACGTCCTTTGGTTGATAGACGGATATCTCGCCTACGCCATAAATGACGCAAGTTGGCAAAATCTAATCGAGCCTTCTGTATCCGTGCTGAGATTTCGTCACAAACCAGACCACAAGGGCTGATGAGACTTCCCAGATAAGTGAAGCGATCGACACGCTCAATTACTTCACTCCCTATCACTAGTTTGGGTGTCGATGTAACCCAATCCTGAAGCAACATTTTGCATTTCGAGGGGGAGAATCGCATCCCGAACATGCTTGCATGGTTGCTTAGAGTGGTCAAAAGACTCTGCATTTTGTCAGCGTCTTCACCAAATAAAACTATGTCATCAGGATATTCTAAGTCAACAAGTGAACCTCCCGGTAGAAGTTCAACCCCTGGAAATTTAGATGAGGAGAGTGTTATCTGTAAAAGTACGTCGACCACAAAGTTGAACAAGAATGGGGAGAGTGGACAGCCCTGACGAACACCACTTGAGGTAATCAATTCTGGTAACAGTTCGCCATAAGCTCTCACTCTACCAGTTGTGTTCGAGTAGAGAGCCTTTACAAGGTTAATGTACTTCTTTGATACTCCTTTCAGTGACAAACACTGCCATAGAACCTCACGATCAACAGAGTCGAATGCTGCTTTAAGGTCGAGAAATACTACCATTGTGGGGCGTCTGAATGTGTGTCTGTTTTCTAGAACCTGACGTAGTGTGAATATGTGGTCTATACAACCACGTCCAGGTCGAAAACCGGCCTGGTTTTCTCTAATCTGCTCTTCACGAGCTTTGATTAGGCGTCCAAGTATTATTGAAACTAATATTTTAGACACTATATTAGTCAAACTGATTCCTCTGTGATTGTCACAAGAGGACTTTTGTCCTTTCTTATAGACTGGTACAATCAGTGATTGAGACCAGTCAGATGGGATTACGTCCAGTTCCCAAATCCTACCACCGCGTCAAGGTAGCAGCTTCGAGGTAAAAGACTCGGAGAATGGCCGCTTAAGAAAACCACTTGTTTCACTTTGGGCACTCAGGTAGTATTTTAACACACACACAAATCTAATGACTTGTATGGAGCATACATATTTTGGTGTATCTTGGCCCGACCGAAGCTGCGACCTTGACGCGGTGGTCGGGCTTGCCTATCGTGATGACCCAACCGAGCTATATTGGCTGGAACATATGTTCCTGTAGGTTATACCATGCCAGGCAGGTCGATTGGTGAACGGTAAGACTCAAAGCAGCAACTCAAAGTCTGAGGGCGAAGTCGTACTGCTGACTGTAGAGAGGTGTGACAGCAGTAAAGTGTTCCCCTCGGACAACCAGCATGACAGCGATGCTGCCTTCCCACAAGGAGGGGTGGGGTTAGAAAAGGTCGACCCTAAAAATGTCACACCCTACCTTACCTCACGGATTTCCGTCCCCGGCGGTAAGGCCCTTTGAAGAACGGAGCTAACACGTCAAAAACCTTCCACAAAAAGGCCGTGCGCGACCGGCCTCAAGCAGTTGTCCCTTGGGCTCTGCGGTCACGATCACAGGTCGTTAAGACCAACACTAATCCAATTTCCTTTTCAGGTTCCTCAAGAAATCCCCTTCCACGGTGTGGGCAGTCGGGAAGTGACATCAGCCCTCATACCCGTAACAGCACACGAGACCAAGGTGGTCACATTCAAATCCTTCCTACACCTCCTAATACCCTTGTATATATATATATATATATATATATATATATATATATATATATATATATATATATATATATATATATATATATATATATATATGTAGCTTTGGAAATGAAACCATCGAAAGATCTCTTTGCTCAACCTTATCCATATTCGTTTTTCACTTCCTCAAACCAGACTTCTGAAGATATTATGTGGTATATGATGCTCATACTATCATGTCGTTGGGTACTGTAACATATAAACTCATGATGTTTTTATTCCGGATTGGTTGTGTCTGATCATCATTTAGTAAGGCGTCTTAAATCTTAGTTGTGGTTACAATGAAATTCATATTGTGATTGATCTTTAAATTAATTTCCATGTGCAGGATTTCAGTTTTATGTTTCTTTTCTAGAATGAAGCCAGCAGCAATGAAAAAGTTCAGCACCAGTCATTCTTCTCCACTACCACCCAGTGAGCCAGGAGCTCCTAAAAGGTCAGTGCCTGGACCAACTTCTCCGTGGCATTTTTTAGATCTCTTGTTGTTTTCGACTCTTCGACGACCGATGTTTATTAATCCGGCCGTTAAAGCTGGAGTATATCTTTGCCTAGCTGCCGGCGTATCTCTTGTCTTCGACTTTGTGAGAGCTCCTCCAACTTACTTTTCTAATAAGCAAAATCCGTTCAACAGGTATTTTGTGAAAGTAGGGTGGGCTTGGACATGTGGTTGCCTTGCAGCCTTTATAATCGTTTCTTCCTTTGTATATACGGCTGGTAATATTAAGCTCATGCGTGGGCATATTTTACGCTTGGTAGTTGGCTCTGGCTGTTGGTATACTGTTACTGGACTTATCAACTTAATTCATGATTGGTCTGGTCACTGTCATCCAGCATCGGTTACCTTGCCTAATGGACTCCGTCCTAATCAACGAATTTCATGTCATCGAGCTGGAGGTGTTTGGCTAGGATTTGATATATCGGGTCACTGCTTCCTGTTAATCATGTCCAACTTATGGATCATAGAAGAACTTGGCTTTATGCAACATTGGAACAAACTCTCTGAAATTCTACAGCTACATAAGAGCAACGAACCGAACCAGTCTACTAATACAAGTGGAATTCGTCATGTTTCTGAACAAGAACTGAACATAATGCGCTCAGCTTATCGAAGATTAACATCTGTGATTCGTCTAATATTTTCGTTTACAGCCTGTTTGTCTATGCTTTGGGATATTATGTTTCTTTCAACAGTAATCTATTTTCATACTATGCCATCAAAGCTTTTGGGTACCGCACTTGGTGTCGCTTGTTGGTTCCTATTTTACCGAGTCATTTTTCGCAGTTGCCCGACTGGATATTGGGGTGGGTTTGCTCCTGGACTACCCGGAGATGGTCCAATTAAATTTGTACTTAATTAGCTCCTCCAACAAAATATGAATAGTAACTGTTTGTATAGAATATCACAATTTTCGCAAATACTTTAGTTTAACGTTTCGGTACTCATCACTTTTACGTTCTTCTAAGTATTTTTTTTCAGTATGTTGTCATGTTGACTGATGAAATCACTGATTTTGAGCTTTTATAACCACTCATATTGTACTGCCGTTACTTTCAAATATCAGAAAACAAAATCCTGGCTTGTAACCATATAAAATACCGTTTTATTGCCATTACGTACCAGTTCCGAGGTTTGGTGAGAAGCGATCGCGTTGACCGTAATGAGAAGCTTCATGCCAGCTGCTCGGACATGTTTATGTAGCTAGAAATAGAAGACCTACGAAAAAAGTGCACATGTTTGTTTTATATTGATTTTTGGTGGAATTGTGAATATCATGAAGTTAAACGCTGTGTAAATTAATAAATATCTATCTAATCGTCATATTCACCTCGAGATTTCATCGAAAGTTGGCATGCATATATAGAAGTAAATGAGCAGAAAATCTCAACATGTAAACCAATTCTTCTACCAACCACCAATGATTAGGTTATGTAGAGTTTCAAACTTACGTTCTGACAACATTTTCCACCAGCAGGACCCAAAACATATACTAAACATATTGATTTTTTTCACTTAGTACATCAATAAGCTTGGAATTATAGTGTAGGAGTATATTTTTCCTACTTGACTGTATAGTAAGACGTAAAAACTTTGTTTAAATGCTTCTGGGTTTTTTTTCATAATATCATTTTGCAAACATGTGGTTGTTTTAGTATGCAACGGGTTATTCATTAGGAAAAATTGTTGGAACAATTACCAATAGGTTGATAGGTGTTCATTAGATATGTTCACGATGAAGTACCTGGACATGAAACTAGGTTAGATATGCAACTTGATTGACTAGCCTTCAATATCAACATGCATCCACAGGATTTCTCAGTGCAATTTGAAACGAGCCAGAAACTAACCGTAAAGTCTTAATCCAAGAAGTTTAATTCAACCTTTATGTTAAGTTTCCAGAAATAAACAGACACTAGCTATTGGAATCTTCAGTTTAGTTGTGTAACTATTGGGTCATTAGTTCGGGATATCCTCAACTCACTTTCCGTTAGGCAGTTCAATGATGTCACAACGTTTTACATGGTGTAATATCTGGCGGTACAAAAATGTGTACTAGTTTACTTATTTCCCTGTCAGATAATCGGACCGAACTGTCATCAATAGTTTTCATGTGAAAACCCCTTAATATGGTAAGCACATGAAGTATAACAAGTCTTTCTCCTTGTATACATGTATTACTTTGTAGGACAACTATATCCTAACATGTCTGTGCTCTAATTTTATGAACTTAAAAATGCCTATGATATTCACTTTTAGATTATCATGGTCACTAACACTTCCTGCTAGTGTTTTATATTTTCACATGTGTTTAAGTTTGTATAAGTATTGCTAAATTTGACCTAGTGGCGTTCAGTGTAGATTTTAATTCTTCAAAGTAATACTGCAAAATCTGTCTTCATGCTACGATATTATTGTATCATATATACATTATATCTAGCGGAAATGGAAAGTCTTAAGTTATGGGATCGAAATCAATACCTCGGACTTCGGCTGAGAGTTCGATATTATTCAGTTATCAATTCAGTCGCTCACATATCTTTGATAGGTAGTTGCGGATCATGATTTGCACAGATTAACAGGTTGACTGTAAACGCATCTGTATAACATAGTATTTATCTTGATTAACTTAGTGTTACAAGGTGTATACTAGTTCGTAAGTTAAGTGGTGGCTTGGCTTTTAACCAATAGGCAACAAGTTCGACCCCACCACACCTCTAGTTTAGACATCTCCATAACAAAACTAAGCCTTTGACAGTATTTTTAGAAACCGAGTACATAAACTCTTCCTTGGCTAGTGAGTTATATGGAGTTAATTAATTAGATCAATCTCACTGAGATAGGATATAATTGTATTATTAGCAGTAACATCAGAACAGCTAAATAGTCTAGCAAGAAAACTTTTATCATTCATGAATTGGTAAGAATTTCCTCTATCATTTAAGGTAGAGAGAGTGATTATTTGCAAAACCTGAATCGGTTGATAGTCTGTTAGGCAAGTGTTATATTAGCTATTAGCTACTCACCAGTCAATACATTGCACTTTGACCTACATTTTTCACGTGACTTTTAAATACACTACTTTAACGCAAATTCGATTCAGTGCATACAAGTTGAAGAATTAGATGTTATTTGCTAAATAGATAGGCGAGTCTACACTGAGTTTGGTCCCAACAAACATACGGGATTCCAATTGTTACCCGAGTAACTCAGCAGCAGTGTAAATTACTGTGATATATTTCAATACCCTGAGGATAATCAGATACATCAAGGTTGCAAATGTGCCTCAGTGATGACTGTTGTCTAGCACGAAACAGACTCAGGACCTCTCACTAGGCCCCATGTTTAAAAATATTTAACTGGTGTACAGTTTCTAGACCGTGTTCTCCTTAACTATCCTACTTTTTAAGTTTGTTTTATCATTGAGACGAAAGACTTTTTAATGCTTCTTTGTTTTTATTACCCTCAAAAACTAGTGAGCCTAAAATGGGGAGTGATTTTACAAAACGAAATTCCAGGTAACGTATAGTCGTATAATGCAAATTCCAAAGCTATCTACTGTTTGTCCTGATTTTATCCTAAATACAAGATAAAAGTAGTAACGACAACTAACGTTTAATTAAAGAAAAATCAGGCGCTGTCTGGTAATTATGAGGTTTTCCTGATATCGGAGACTACTAAACGGTATTTTACATTAGAACATTGTTGATTATCAACTACCGATTTCTTCCAAAGCTCTGGTTAATTATGTTCGTTATGCTTCCGATGCACACTTATATATCGATGTCACTGTTTGTTTAACACAATTTTTACTACAGAAATTTGGAAGCTCACTATAAGATAAAAAGTAGAAAGCTCTCATGGGGTCTTCAATGAAGAAAATAAAATGCTTTCGGTGAGTGTGAACTTAGCTCCCAATTAACAAGTAGTGGCTTATTCCGTATTTATACCAGTCAAGTGTTTGATCTGGCTGCATGCTTTAGCATGATAACTACCATATCGTGTCAGATTTAACCAATTTCACGACATTCAATCTTATTGAGATGAGTGGTTTTGTGAAAAACTAATATTATGGTTTTGAGGTAAATTCCGTTGCGATAAACCAATAGCTGAGAGATGATTTATTGAACCTCTGTCCATCAAGTCAATACCCAACGCATGCAGTAAATATTTCTTAAACTATACCACCGTCAAACTGCGGAATGTCGTCCGTCAGAATAGTAAGAGGATTTGCTCAGTAACTGGGATATAATTTTAAACAAGATGTGTGTGAAATACTTATCAAACAATTTCATATCACTTTGCTATATATATCACAAACAAGCAATCATGGTGTTAAACGACACAAACATCTCCGCAGGTTGTTAGTTGCAGACGATATTGATTCTGAAAGTTTAGCAATTATAGGAGGTTTTGGGGATAAATATGAATTGGACTGGACTAATAGCATTCGTTTAGGGTGCGGTATCAAGAATCTTAGAACAACATAAAAACAACGTTCAAATTTATAATTCGCACTAAACCACACAATACAGATTCCTCCACACCTTAAACCTGTCGCCCCATAATGTTAATTTTAAAAGTGGCATAGCCGGTTAGGACTATTTTGAAATGGATATGAGATGATAATTTGTGCGGTGATTACACCCGTGTAATGACAATAAACATACTTTGTCTCTATATATTAGAAAAAATATACAAATCAATATACTGAGGACATATTTCGATAGTACTTAAAACAATTAATATCTTTTTTTATATCTATGGTTATATCTTCAAAATCCAGTTGGAAGGAAAAAAGCCGCAGTCGTCTCAATCTCAGCCAGAATTCTTAGAGGGCAAGATTTCGCAAATCAATAAGAATAATACGGTACCATGTAAAAATTTGCAACCAAAATAAATTTGGAAATATGTTCAAAACTCGCAAGTCATTTAACTCCAATTCCATAAAGTATCATCAATAACTGGAGTATTGACACCGAGGATCGGCTATGTTTGTTATCTAACTCAGGAGTTTTGCGAAACCGTATAATCTGTTTATAATAGTGAATATTTGTTCGCTTCCTTCTTTAGGACGTATGTTAAAGACACTAGGGAACAATACTCAGGGACTGAAATCTTGCCACGTATATATTAGAGCACAAGGTCAGTATTTTTGGTTCCATCTTGACTAATGTTTTCTGGTGGTTAATTACTGTTAGGACCCAAGTTGCCATAGCACTAGGATAGCTGGATAAAAAAAATCAACAAAATGAGCACAGAAGCAATAACAGTAAGTGCGACGAAAAGCCACGGTACGTGTGCCTTACGCAACATGTAATGGTCGTCAGTGCAGAAGGAACGAAGGGACTAGCGGCGGCCAGATATGGTATCAGTCCACAGAGTCACTAACTTCTGAACTAGGATATGTGTGGGGAGGTCTACACCTCCTCATTCATGCTTAACAGATAACTGTTCAAAGTCTGGATGATAAAGCAATAAATTAGATGCAGTTCTCATTCTTCTTACTCTTGAGTTTAGCATTATTACGTAGTTTATATTAATGAATTAATTCATATATTTCAAATACTCATCCAGTTTAGTTTGTCCACTGCTATTTTCATTGACTCCTCTTTGTTGAATTTCTCAGATAATCCAATGTGGTAACGAGCCGGTACATATCCATGTCTTAAGTTATTTACGGTGGGTTTCAGAGCATGAAAACCCAGGGATGAGGCAACACACTCAAGAAAATGAACTATTTTATTGGTAAAATTGACAAAAAATTATGCCACAAGGAATTCGTTACATAATTAAAACCCTGTAGAATTAAATAAATGTATCATAAAATGAAGCTATAAAAATAGTTGACGCAGAGTAAAATTCAGTGAAATGCACAAAATGAATCTTGGTATAGAATTGGAGAGCAATAAATATGTACAAGATTATACACAAATTTTTGTAAGTAGTGGATGTTCTGATCGGTACTTAGTTTAGATGCTATTTAATGTTAACACTATGTCTATTTTAATCATCAACAGTTAGATCAATTGAAATATCAGAAGATAATACGGGAACAGACTGGCCTAATATAGCGGCTGTGACTGGACCAGGAGCTTGCGGATGCAAAGATTTCTCTTTTGGCCAAGGAGTAACAGGTTTAATGTTATTGACTGAGTGGGTTTCATCGATGTTAGTTAAATTATATGAATTGAGCAGAGTTCCCTCAAACGAAAGACTACTGTTAGTGATCGGCTTGTAACATATATTATTCATTGCTTGTATATCTTTGGAAGCTCTTTCGCTACTATTTACAAGAATGATTTGAGAAGTGTCTGAGGTATCAGAGGAAGTAGTGGATGTTTGTATTTCGAATGTCGAGTGGTTAATTTTTTTTAACCTTCGTTTAAGCTTTCCAGCTCGTCGTCTGTCAAGGGATATTATACAATTATCTGGTTCGTCGGATACTTCATGATTTTCTTCACTATTACAATGAGACACAATATCTTTAGTAGGAGAATTAGTAATAGCATTATCCGGTAGGTAAATACACACTTTTTTAACAGATTTTTCTTTCGACTGCTTTTTACACATGTCAGTAGATCCTACTAGCTCACTCGTTTTATTATTAACGAAACTGAAATTATTACTAGCCTTATTTTCTTCTAGAGGAGGACATGAACATCTTTGTGATTTAGCAAAAGCATCTCCCGAAAAGGGATTCATTGCGTGATGATCACAAGTTTTGGAATTTGTGGAGACTGGGTCGCATGAGCTTGAGGAAATGGGTAGATCAGACTTCGAACCTGAGATGGGAACACTTTCATCTAGCGAACCATTCCGATCGTGAACATCTCGTGGGGGCTGAGAAAATTTGGACTTTGAGTTCTGAATATCAGCATTCTTGGGAGAAATAGTAGGAAAAGCCCTATTTTCAGTGATGAGATCTTTATCACAAATGGATGGAGATGTATGTGGGGGTATGTTAGCATGTCCATTACACGTCTTTTGTAGTGAGTTCGATAAGGTTGATGAGTTTGAAATGACTGTATTTGCAACATTTGGAGATATGATCGGATGATTTACTACAACTGAAGACTGATTTGAATAGCCGTTCTCGATTTGATTGGTATCGCATGCTATCAAGTTCTTGAAAGTTGGTGTATATGATATTCGTACATTGTTCTGAAGTAATGGGTCATTATCTTGAGAGACTGTGAGTAAGCACTCGACAGGTGGTGAAATTTCATCTGTAATCTGATAATCTTGATTAACATTAGTCTCACTATGAGCATTACAATATTGTGTATCAACTGAATAGGCATCTTTTTTTGATACATTGTCACTCAAAATGGATGTAGGGTGATTCTGGCAAGGTTCACACAAATTTTGAACACATGATTCCACCAGTGTTGCTTCTTTAGACGATTTTTTATTGGTGTCTGTTAAATTAAACTCCAGCCTACTGTTACTGACGTCAGTAACTAAAGGATTATTTACACTAGCAAAAGATGAATCATGGTAGTTAGTTTCTGTAATATCTGAGTTCAGCAAATTCGAGTTGTTTTTTAAAGTCGGCTGTGTAAGTAAATTTTTAGTAGTTGATAATTTTCCAGTAGTTCGATGACTGCGAAGATCTGATGATGCAAACGTGGATGTATTTGTCGTGCTATCAACTGGAAGAAATTGGTCAGAAGGGGTGAGAATATTTATATCAGGTGGACAGCTAGAAAAATGATAACTGACAGCTTGCGGTACAGGAGATTTAACACTTAAATCTGAAGTAACACTAACCTGCTCACTAGATAGCGTTTCACAAACAAAATTATTGCTCGGTGAAAAATGACATGCACCAGCCTTATGGCTTTTATTATTAACGATGGAAGGTAATTCTGTTTTTAGGTTAGAACTGGATATTCTAGTCGAAGTATCTTGCGAAAATGTCAGTTTTGAGTAGACAAACTCCTGTGTATCATTGCTGAGAGAACTAACGTTCTGATTGGTGTGTTCCTGTGAGTTTGTTTGGACTATATGTTGAGTAAGAATAAAACTGGGATGAACTGGTGGCCAAGACGATAACGAAATTATGCCAGGTTCTTTCAGAAATAAATGAGATGAATTATTTTTGGAACCATATGGAATACTTAAAACAGGACATGGTAACTTCAAATTTCTATATAACCACTGACAATTCCAGCATTTAGCAAGTATCTTGAGAAGGTTTATCATTTCGTTACCAATAGATCTTAATTCTGTTTCATGCTGACGTCGAGCCCAAACCTCAATTACATCATACTGGCTTTGCAGTGACGAAAAGAAATACTTCAAGTCAATATCAGCACGTGAATTAACTTCAGTGGATAAACCTTTGTAAGCTGGAATCCAAGAGTTAGTAATGGATGTATAGGTCTGCGATAGTTGATTCTTAAAAGATAACACTTTTTCCATAACTAAATGAAGATGTCTAGTTACATCAATAGTTAGATATTCTAATAGATGAAAAGATGTTTCAATAAAGAGAGAAAAGTTAAACTTTGGTATTACATTTGACAAATGAACTAATTTTTTCACATATTTGAGCGACTCGACAACCCATTGTTTGGAGTTTAGTAAAGTCAAGTTTCCATCATTGCAAGACATAATATTCTGATTGTAAAATGGACCAAATAAGAAAGTATTTCCAGTTAAGTGACGTAAACTATGGTATATACGTTCCAATAGGTTTATTAGATTAAGAATATGAGGGTTAACCTCTTCATTAAATATGCGACCAATATTATCTCGAGCAACGGCTTCTGATTCGAAAAGACGTGCGCGACCTCGAGCAATACGTAAATAAGACAGTTGCTGAGTATCGTTACAGTGGGTTTTTGAAAGTTCATATCTTGCTCTTAGACAGGCACCAGCTGACATAAGCGAAGCATAAGAATCACGTAGTCTGCACAAACAAACAGATACAGCTTGATGTAAATGTTGCATGATAATGAACAAATTAACGGATAACTGTTCATTCAACGGGACATTCAAATTATAATGCACACTTGGCTTGGTATCAGTGAAAACATGAATGCAAGTGTTATGAAAAGAATTAATAAGCAGTCCAAATCCTGCAATATGATAAACGGGCAAACCGAAATTCGTTTTCAATATAGTTGTAAGTGATTTTGGAAGACAATCAGATAACTTTGCATACAATTCCAAATCATGATGGTCACCATGTAGGTTATCAAGTGATGAACATTTCGTAGAATCGTTCTCGTTTGTTCGCATTATTGGTAACAATGAAAACGCACTTGGCATTTGTCCAGGTTTAATAGAGAAGGTTTTTGCAAAGCTTAAAATACGCTTTTTTGCATCTGGTTTAAAAATTAAATATGATAATGTATGCAGTAACATTTTTGGACAACAATCGTACCAAGTTTCATGTAATGGTAAACAACTATACGTAACAGTTAATATTTCTTTTAAAATATTATCAGAATACCAGTGTACAATAAATAGTGGAGTAGATTTTGAAATGGTGCATGAATAGTGTGGTAAAGAAATCGATCTTAACGGTGATAAACCAGTTGATGTATAAATATGAATATCACCTGAAGGTATTCTACGACAATAATGTCGACAGTGTTTTAAAACATTTCTTAAAACTAATTGATTTCTACGATTTACTAGTAATAAATATAAAATTCGTAAGACATCTCCAAGTAACAAATGAGATTTCATTTCACTTCTAAAATAGAAAATTTAAAAGTAAAAAGTTACTATTAGAAATTATCGAAATATCTACTTTTAGATAAAGGAGGCTTTCAGATTAATTTCCATAAAACTTATTAAAAAAACGCATGTTGTATGACAATGTTCGCTGTTCACTTAAAGCAAGAGGGTTCGGTGTTAGCGACTTCAATTTTAAATGGTTTATAAAAACTAGATTTTTGATTCCTTTTCCTTGACCAATAAAATCTATTTGATTGAAGTCATTTTATTAATGTTAACTAGATATGAACATGCGAAAATGTCGACCATGGATTTTAAACAACGGTAGAAAATTTTGGAAAATACGCAGCTAACGAAACCGATATTATTCACAAGAAGGTTATGTATAACTGGTTGCAAGTAATTGCTCTTTGGGGGGACTTTCAAGTGGTGTGACTAACAAGGAAATGCAAATTATTAGCATAGCACTTAGGATAATTTTATATCCCAAATACAGCCACCAACTTATTCAAGTAATTGGTGAACTCTTGCAATATTGTGATACATAGCTAGACGCTAGATAGTACCTGGTACGATATTTCTGTTTACACAGCTACTGATACAGTACTACAAGTGAGATTTAGTATTGAAGTAACTTTTTCCATGTTGTCATCTGACAGTTATTACATTAAATATATAACTGATGAAATTAAGATTGGTGGCAGTGTGGTGTGTGCTACTTATCCTGACATAAGTAGTATATGACGTTACTCGTGAACAGAAGGTCTGGCAGCAGAAAGACAAGGGGATCGAACAGTAAAGAGTGGAAACAGAGTGCGACTTGTATGAAAATGCAAGAACAATGAAGTCTGAGTCATTATGAGAGAACTGATGGACATTTTCAAATTACGTATTTACTATTTGATTGTTAGATTTTATTAACAAGTCCTGTAATTTTGAGTCAAATACATTTGATTGTCCCCACTGGTGTTCTTGTACACTACAGCAGCACTGTTTAAATAACAGCATAAAATGCTGACATATTTATCTAAACGACTATCACTAATATATGACACAGTAATGTAATTATTCTATGAAGTGAGATTTTCATTTGAAATTATAACAAATGTGATAGATCACGAAAAACAAACGGACAAAGAAATTCCTGTGAATTATCATAAACTAGAAAAGAAGAATGAGTAGGGAAAGCTCACTTTTCATATCTTGATGCATAAGTATAAACCCAATGTGGAGTCTGTGATAGTTTCGCTTCTGGATCTCTATCGAAATCAAGCGAAGAAACTAATCGAAGTCCAACAGAATCTTCTGTTGACCGCAATTTCCATTTCTAGTGAATAATATAAGTAGGGAAGGAAAAAAGAAATACTGTTTAAGGAATAAGAAGAAAAGGAAAACTATTTACATATTTTGATGAACAAAAGTTTGAAGAACATTTGACCATTTTATCCACAAAGTGTGGTAATGATAAGACAAAAGAGAAATGTATGGATTTCGTCTTTACATTTAAGGATTATTACATGTACTGTCAGCAGCATTGACTTTGAGGATATTTTGAGGAAAAAAAGTGGTTGAAGGACTTACATACTGTCAGTAAGTATTAATCCCAAGGTTGGACTTTGTAGTTTCAAATACACCGAGCATTAGGTAGAAAGTTAATAATAAATACATTTTATTGTTATATCCCAGCAAGTGGAGAATTGCATTTCTAATGTTTCGTGACTTAATGTGAGCCACTTCTTCGGTTATTTATTTACTCCGAGGAAGTGGCTTACATACAGTCATGAGACATCAGAAATACAATTTTTCACTCATTGAGATATAACAAAAAAACTATTTATTATTACACACTGATTAAAAAGGTGAGAAACAGATAATCAAATTTACAGTATGGGGTTGTGGAGATTATGAATTTCATTGGGATCATGAACGACTGAAAACCTGGAAGTACTGGACGGTCCTTTCATCCGTGTATAACACACAGTAGCAATAATTCTGCTTTTATCCACTATGTATGAGTGCATTGATTTGGCAAAAATGTTAGGCTATTATGATGTTAATTTGAAGTGTGATAATTATCCTCATAGATATATATAGTATACACTTCATTTTTACTTAACCAGTGATAGGACATTGCATAATAGGACTATAAATCAATTGTTCTATAACTATAAACGAGGTTCTAAACTTGTTCATAAAGTTATATTTCAAAATACATCAAATCGACTACTTAGGCATGTTTTCCATTCGATTATCGTATAAAATTGTTTTGTAGAAATATAGTTAGCTTTCGATAAAACATAAAGATGTTGGATATATCAAATGCAAAGAAACAGACTACTTACATAGTTAGGGGTAACTTGGGACCTGTATAATGTAGACAGTCTGGTTGTTTTCCGGAGATTCTTAGAAAACTGATGAGATCGGTGACGAAGTTGGCGGCTTTTAAGAACACAAGGATTTTTGTATTGTGGTGTGGCTGTAAGAGAGTGAAATCATTGAGATTGGTGGTCAATTTTTAGCCATTAGGGAGAAATAGAAAAGTTTGATGTTACATGTGGTGTAATACGCTTGTGGCTGGTAATCATTTCAAACACATTCTTACAATAACCACTAACTTTATTGAGTATGTTTATATCATTAATCCAAAGTGAAGCAGGTACTGAACGTTTACTCATACCCAATTTATTTACAATTCATTTGAACATTATAAACATTCACTATTTATTTTGAAACATATTATTACATTGTATTTTATGGATTTAACTGAGACCCACAAATTTCTTCGCGTGCCTTAGTTTTAGTATTCGATACTATTGGATGTTTCAATTTATTATTAATGATTCCTTAATGAATGAGATCAACATTATATCATACTTCACTGGTTTTACAAAGATGTTTTTGATTTATTAATCAAAATTGAAATACTTTTTTCTTTTTATAGGACTAGGGCTTCGACCAAGTCGTGTGCTATCGGTCATACCCATTTGACCATTTAATTAACTAGAACTACGTAACAACAAGAGTATATTAAGACAGAAAGTATGAAGTAAGCAGAAGTGGTTCCTACAACATAATTTATTCACTTATACAGTGTATCAGATTGCGTCTGTCTTCACAAGCTAACCAATCACAGAATACACTGGCTAGGCACCAAATTAAAATTGCAGTAATGAATAAATGAAGTAAAGGTGGCATCTATTTTGACAGTTTACAAGCGAGTTGACACATGAAATACTGAATACATCTATTAGTCACTGCTTACGGAACACTTAATAACGAGATACAGATCTCGTTATATCAATTGCCTTTCTGATAACGATTCATAACAAGAATTTGCAGTCGATTTACTTGCTATATTTTATATCTGCTGGAAAATTTTAGATTTATAAGTAATCAGGTATTATTAAAGAGGTTAAATGTTAGGTTCATGTCGCCTCTGTTGAATCCGCAATCCTACTGCACGTATTCGGAAACCAGAACCATTGTAATTTCCATGCCACAAGCAAGAACACAAAAGATTAGGGCACGTAGAGATTTATTGACTAATCAAAAAGATGTCCCCAAAACAAGTCGTTCAGATGCATTCACAACATACACCCATTTATGTGCTGACTTTTAAACACAATAGTACCATATATAAGGAGAAATACATAGTTCATTAAAATATATAAAAAGTATTCGTACATAAATTAACAATATTATCCCACTCTTCAAAATACGTATGCACATATAATGAAAGTATTTTTATGCATATTGAAATACAAGAAATAATATTAACTAAAGAGAGAACTATCGAGAAGATACAATTACCTACTGTTGATTGTAGACATATGTCAGCTTATTTCACAATAAACTCTATATATGAGATAATTGTAATCAACTGCCAAAGACCCTAAATGTTATCATCCGAAAATCGATTATAGTAGTATAGATGAGTCTGCTTATAATCTTTCTATAAAAATTGAATACTGTAATATTTTGGTGGAGTTTTGTTCTCTGAGCTGAACATCAGTTAGCAGTCAAACGGCATGATATCTCTTCACTTATATCAATACACGTGGACAACTGCGGACACTCATTCGATTGGAAAAATGTGGAAATCTTAGACAGAGGAAACTCCAAAAACACCAGAGAATTTATAGAAGCCTGGCACTCAGGTCAATTAGCAATCAACAAGCATATTGAAATCAATCCAATTTATCAACCAATCAGAAAAATCATGCACAAAAATAAGAACAAAAATCAAAACAATGGGAGACACAACCAAAACAAAGAAGTAAACAACGACAAATTTAAGGCCAATAAGAACCAATCAGCGTCGAGGTGCACAGAACAAGCTTCGAGACACATATGGAGAAATTCAAACACTTCACTTCTATCTGAAGTTTGTGCTGATGATGTCGTTCAGAAGAACGATGAAAGCTCCACGACCAAACCATCCAGCTCAGAGAACAAAACTCCACCAAAATCATCCACCTGAGCTACAAATCTTCTCCACCATCTCTGAATACTGTAATATTTTATCCATCTTATTTGCTATATTTACTTATTATTTATTTAAAAACATAAACATTGGTATAAGGATGCACCAAATAGATATTCGCCACACAAATCATTCGATATGTGTGAGGGCTGGATACTGCCCGGTTGCCCAAACCGAAGCAGGTGGTTTCCTTAGGGGCCACACCCGGAGCCGTCGACCTAAAGGTCTAATCCACAAGGCAGTAGAGCAACATAAGGAGATGCAATCCCATGGTAGCCGGTGACCAACGGTTGGTTCATACGCCGTTTGTTCCCTCAGGATACTGGAGCCCATGTGCACCACTGATTTGCAATCAGGGTTTTCCAACTCCTCTAGGTGAACCCTCCGTGTCCACCAACCCAGTTAAAACGCTGGACATTCTCTTTTCGTCCTCTCAATTTCGTAAACAACACTCCCGCCACGAGGAGGTAGTGGTTGTATGCACGTGAGAGCATTTCGAGAGAGAGGGATGACTCTTCCCACTCTAGGCCGTATCAGGGCATTTGGGGGCAAAACTGTGACGCGCCGGGAGTCGAACACCGGGCCGCCTGGCTGAGAGCCAGGAATCTTAACCGCTAGAATTACTTAGGTCTTCCGTTTTTCTTCTTGAAGTTTTCCACTGCTGTTAGTACCTTTATTTTCATTTGTCGAAATTTTGATGTCTTTCCGCTCTGTACTGATGATTGATGTGTGATCAAAGTAAAAATAATGCATATTTATGCCATGTAGAGGTCAAGAGACTACTAGAAATAAATTGAGTGAGATTTACATCAGAAACCTAGCATTTAAAAATGGTACTTAGAATATTAAATCGGAGCTACACTGATTGTCGGGTCTGCGGAATGGAACTGCAGTGAAAGTCGAGTTGTGCAATCCTTGGAATATAAGCGAAACTCTTTCATTTACAAGTGCACCAATATATCTTCCAAAAGCATGGATTATACTATAGCCACTTACATAGTTGGTTTCATACTAATGATAAAATATACATATAAATATTCATTACCTACATGGACCACATTTTTCCTCTTCATCCTAAAAATAAAAAGGACAAGATAAACGGTAAGGTTTAACAACTATACAACATGGTGGTTACAATGTATAAAAACTAATAAAATCGCATACATCGTTTCTCTTAGTGATACATATTTAGAATTAGACTTAATATTATTTACCTTAATTGAACTCAGCAAAGTATCAGAGGGACGGGTGATAATCAGGATCTAGTTGATAAGTGGTGTTTCGACTTTGGCACAGCATAAAATTGAGATCTTCGGGAAAGAGATCCTAATTTCACATATTCGTGAAATAAGCGCACAGAATAGACTGATAGAGGACAAATTTACAGTGCTTAACTGGGATTTCTAAAAAGTGCATTTACGCTTTAGAATAGATCAACATCGAAAATGTTTTAAAAACAGCTGCTATATTTACCTGTTGATCGATAGACATTACGATGTACAGTATTTCTGGCTTTCGAATAATCTCATTAGTTGTAAAGTTGAACGATAACATCCACAAAACAATTTTTAGTGACTTAGGACCGCTCAAACAGTTAAACTTATATCTGAGACTATCTGCTGTGTGAAATACGGATTTAAATTTAAGTATGTTAAATCATCAAGCATGTGGTAAAAAGCAGATGATCCATAAGGCAATATAAAATATTGTTTAGAGCAATAAGAAACAGTTTTTGAATAAGTCTTTGTAAATCAGTCATAAATAGTTTAACTGAGGCTAGACAGCAGCTAATCCCCACATTAGATGCTGTTTCAGAATAAAAGCTTCTACATAGTATTAGAAAAGGAAAATAACTTGAAACCAACTGATGCTCCAGGACACTAAAACGCGATATGATAGCACGAATTTCAACGATCATTGATTTCATAACTGATATTTGTTATGTTATAAAAGTCTACTGTTATGTCAAAACTAATGGATAAAATACAAAGACCAACTTACGGAAAGAATTTCAATTACATCTGATTCATTCGTAATTGGTGTAAGCCTTTGAGATTCCTTTGATTGTGTGATTTTATTTTTAGATTGTGAAGCGAAATCTTGTGTTGTCTTATCTGATGAGTGACTTGATTTGTTAACATTTAGATGACGTAATTGAGCCTTTGTTCGGGGCCGGTTCATATTACTAATCATTACAATATTATTTTTAGCAAGTATTGCAGATGGATTTAGAGTAAAATGGCTAGCATCAATCTCCATGTAACCGTGATCGGAAAGGTGACGAGGTGAACTCTTATTAAACCCAGGGGGATTTGTTTGTTTGCCAGATATGGTACATAATTTTGATGGTGAACACAACTTCGACATTGCCAAGGCCAACTGAATAGGGTATCTTAGTAGTGTACATTTTTTATGAATATACTCTCGTAAAACGGGATCGTCGTTATATGACTCGCTAAGACCATTAGTTGATAAACTCAGAGGAATCGAAGGATAGTGATGAGTACCGTGAGGTGTTTCTTGAATAACGGTCATACGCCTAGACGAAACAGATAGTGCGTGGAAATCCCCCATTTGTGAACCAGAGGTATCACTAGAACAGCTATTCTGAGTTGAGGAAGTGCAAGACGTGGTCGGCGATTTATACTTAGAATTTATAAAATCAGCACTAGCACCAATTACATTTGATATACATACACTCTGTGAAGGACCTGGAGCAGGATTTGGTGAAATCTGAATATCATTTCTGACTGATGAAATGGCTTTGCAAATACCCGTTCTCTGATTCAACAAGTTATCAGCATGATCACCATCATGAATCAGCATAGAACCAACAGTTTTATTGCTGCTGTTAACAGTTTGATCATTAAAGTGTACATGAGATGTCGATGTATCATTAGCCTCAGGCTTGATTAATAATGAAATATTACTGTCATTACCATGAGACGCATTTCGTGTACGCGGAATTGTATCATCTAAAAGCGATAAGTAGCAATACATATTTTATGAAAACCCTACAGACCAATAAATGGTTTAATATTGTATAAGTAATCAAAATTGTAAAGGAATATTGTGGAACCGAGGTTTAGCGTTCCTGCCATACTGATATTTAAAATCAACTACACAGTCCTTCTTTAATGAATAACCGCAAATGATACCAGTCTGTTAAATCAGGTAACTGACTATAAAAAACAAACCTGAAAAATAAGTAGAATAAACCTTTTAAGCTTGTGTTCACCGGTTCTATCAACTATTCAGAAGTGAAACAATAGGAATTCGAACAGTTTTGTCGAATTAATATTAAATATTCTTCCCAGTAGTGAAATGTTTTTACTTAAGTCTAAGGTGAACCATGTGGATGTGGGCCTCAGAGAAAGAAAATCATTCAACACAACAAATAAGCAATTATGACTTTTCGAGAAATTAACTTGGAGACTGGTACAAATTAGTGTTAGCCCGAGTAGCCGTAGCGGTACATAAGATGAGACTAATATAATGAACAAAGAATTAGGAATAATGGTAGTATCAATGATACCGTGAATGATGGGACATTTAGAACTTGATTCGAAAAGAATGAATAGGGAGAAGTGTATGAAGAGATACTAGAACTTGAGATTTAAAAGGGAATTAAAAAATAGATTTATTTGCGCCCCTGCAACTGATTTTGACATATGTCACCCGACATCCCCCTACCAAATACTGACAGTGGTCATCAAACGGACTTCAATGAGGCATACATATAGACTCCAACTTTCACAATTTTACACACAATGAAGAAATTAACAGAAGGATGAAGTTACTAAAATTAACAATAGATGTCAAAAATAAATGAATTGAGATTCATTTTGAATGAATATATGTGCTTATGGAAGGATGCTATGCCATCTTTCAGTTTCATTATATTCTAGCCCGTTCTAGTGCATCGGAGTCAAATTACTGTATATGTGTACTACACGCCCTAACCACTCCTATTGATGGTTAGACTAGGCATTTACATGTTATATGCGTTTAAATAAGATGCTTAACAAAGCAAAGTGCTGAGTAGCTATACTAGCTTAATGATAGGCAAACGCACAACTCATCTGATACACTGGTAGAGCGAACTGGCAAAAGTTCAACACTTGCATGCATCCTATTAATATGAGTGCACTATTACTAAATATTGGGCATCTACTTATTTGTGATAAGATTGAGTAACGGTGTTGAAACCTATACAGTGGATTGTAACAACAATATTTTTAACTCAAAAAAAATTGCTAGGCGAGTTGACTGTGTATGTGGGGACGTTATGGATTCATGGATAAATAGTGGGCATCAAATCAAATTTATAGACATTAAAAAACCTGGAATTTCATCTGGTATTAAGCAAAGAAACTAATTAGTTAGGACTATAGTCAGTATGATATATAATTAAATAAGTCTGGATAAGATTGAATACTCGACGTACAGATGATCTTAAATTAGAAGTCGGATACGACTACTACATGTTTATTGGTTGTGCCAACTGGGATATGCTACGAAATCTGTTGTCTAAGCAAGCTTGGTTATTATTCTGACTATTCTAGCTCCAAACACTATTCAACTATGTTGAAACTTAAAAGCATCCATCTGCTAGCTTCTGTACAGAAATGGTAATAGACTTGTAAAATATACTACCAACGTTATTCACCCTCATGAATTCAAAGACGTTAATACCTTGTTTTGAACAGATTTCATGGCAACAACCATACCAAGGTAGATTTTCCCAGTAAATTTATTAGGATTACCAGTGGGTAGGAATTTATTAAGCAACGAAGTTAATGGTGATGATCATTCGTCTCTTTTATCGGGGAGTGTTATTTATTATTTATTTGAACACATAAATATTGGTACAAGAGAGCGCCAATATATATGCGCCACACAAAACAATAGGAATTCGAAGAGAAGTAGAAAGAGAAAAAAAAAACTAAGGAACGCAAAAGAAAAAGAGAACAATGACGAAGAGATTGGAGTAAGGTAGTGTGGTAGTAACGACGGAACGAAAAGGTACAATCAGAAGAAATCTTTCAGGTAAAGGAGACACAACCACTTTTTATGAAGAAAGTAAAAGAAGGTTACAGCAGGATCGCCACTGGCTTCTATTCTGAGCCATATCTGATAACGTCTCTAGCCACTGTGTAGCACCATCTCTCGGACCCCAACCAGGGAGTCGTGAAGGACCAACACAAGCCAGTCCTTTGCAGCTTTCTTTCATGCCACGACACCATGTCATGCACTGACCACCTCTCCGCTTCTTCCAACCAGTCCCAGAGTCGGCAAATAATGCACGACGTGGAATCCTCTGGGACGACATTCGGAGAACATGTCCAAGCCACCGAAGTCGGTGTTTCAAGATGGTGACACCAATTGAATTATCATCTCTGTGCCCGAACACACGATGCCGAACCTCTGCATTACTGACATGGTGTTGCCACTGAATGTCAGCAATCCTTCGGAGACAGCGATGATCGAACACAGAGAGTCGTCTAACGTCCTCAACTCGGAGAGGCCAGGTTTCACAAGCATAGAGTAAAACTGCTCTCACCGACGCGTTGTAGATCCGACCTTTTACAGCCAGACTAACATCACGAAGGTGCCAAAGGTGGCCCAGATTGGCATAAGCCGCTCTGGCTTTCACTATTCGTGCATTGATCTCATCACTCACACCCCCACCAGCACTTATGCAGCTACCCAGATACACGAACTTCTCAACTACGTCTATCTGCTCACCGTCCAGGGTGAGTACAGGATTAGGATCCTGCCAGTCTTGTAGAAGTACTTTGCACTTCGAAGGTGCAAAGCACATACCATACCTACGGACACTGATTGCCAACTGATTAAGTGCGGATTGCATGCTTTGGGCATTATCGCACAGTAAGACAATATCATCCGCATACTCAAGGTCGAGAAGTCTTTCTCCAGGCAACAGATCCACACCACCATTACTTACATTCATCAGAGCTGTTTCCAGAATGTCATCGATGGCAAAGTTGAAGAGGAATGGTGAGATTGGGCAACCCTGTCTAACCCCACTGCTCGAATGGAACAATGGAGAGAGGTGGTTGTATGCCCTCACTCTGCCTGAGGTGTTTATATACAGGGCTTTTAGGATGTTAATAAACTTCTCAGGCACACCCTTCTTCAATAGACAATCCCAGAGAACAGTCCTATCCAACGAATCGAAGGCAGACCTGATGTCAAGAAACACTACGATTGTTGGCCTTTGATAAGTATGGCGATGTTCTAACATTTGGCGGAGGGTGAAGATATGATCAATACATCCTCGACCAGAACGAAACCCAGCCTGCTCCTCGCCAGTCAATCTTTCTCGGGTTTTGAACAACCTACGAAGAATGACGGAAGCCAATAGCTTGGACGCAATCGGAAGTAAACTTATCCCCCGATAGGTGTTACAAGAACGACGTGAACCCTTTTTAAAGATAGGGACAACTATCGACTCATTCCATGACGTTGGTACACTCTCTAGTTCCCAAACCTTTGTAAACAACGTCGTCAATTCCTTAGTCAAAAAGTCACCACCATCGGGGAGTGTGACGACTATACATCATTTAACTCAAAGAATCAACATCATTATAGTTAATAAGTTTGTGAATGTAGTAATGTCGCTCTATAGAATGTTATTAAGTATTCTGTTATGAACCGGGGTTAATGAATTCAAGATCATTTAAAAGAAATGTTGCATGCAATCAGCTATGTCATTCTTTTACAGAAGCTAACAGATGGATGCTTTTAAGTTTCAAAATAATTATGAAGCTTGCTTAGACAGCAGATATCACACACGTGCAGTCATACAACAACAGTCTTCGTGCTGCAGAGTTATAAAATTCATCTACATGAATCACATAGATTTATCTGATACTGTCTTTCGGAAATTGTTAACTAGGAAAAAGATATTCACGTACATGTAGTAAATATGATAGTGAATACAAGGTAAAATGTTCACAAGTAAATTTTTGTGGGGAAAATATTAAACCCCATATACTACACACAGGTGTTCGGTGAGCTACTCAGGTTATTATACTGCATAGCATAGCTAAGCTGCAGCTCGTTTTAGTTTAATAATAAACTTATCTTCGGTAAGATTATATACGCTGAAGAACTTCAACAACCAATCAGACTTCAAACAAAACTCATGAATTAGGAAGGACAAAAGTCGACTTTACCATAGAGTCCGTCATACGATCAGCATAGAGATGAGGAAAGTTGAGTTAGCCCAATGTTTCGAACGATATTAGCACAACGAATTTAATCTAACAAGATGTGTAATATATCGATCGAAATAATTTTAAGAGCAATGATAAGAAAGAACTAACAGTGGGGACAGTTCCAGAAAACAATAAAAAGGTATGTATGAAGGCGACCGAGGATGAAGATCTAGAGAGAGACAAAGCAGTGAATGCATATGAACCACGTCATAACTGATAACCTTTACAAACCAAATATTTATGATAAATCATTCAACAATTTGTACGGCAATAGGTGAACGTCGATAAGCTGTAGCTAGCCTCAGTGAAAACTTGAAGTGTAGCTAATTATGAAAATATTGGTTAAACACTTCTTTTTGGGAACAATATTTTTGTATGCATAGGAAAGTTTAGCATTCTTATTCGACAGTTAGAACCACGGTTCTACATTTGTGCGTAACATACCTGGAAGAAGCTAAGTATTCAAGCCTATATATGTCAATCACTTATTAGAATTACGCTACATCTGCACATTTACACATGAAGAGCAACTAGGGCTGTAAGGATATACCTAATTCTATCAGGAAACGATATTTTCCCATTCGAAACGCAGAATCCCTAATTTTTATGAACAGATATGAGTCTACTAAGAAACACAACGATTAATGTGATAAGGTCGTGCCAAATATTACACGATAAGAGTGCTGTACAGATGTATAGATAGAATAGCGTTATGGAAGTTTGCAAAACTTTTTCAGGAGCAATTAAGATAAAGCGTTTCGGCAGATAATGTCATGTATTCGTTTGTTGATACAAAGTATCAGGTTGGTATTTTCAGATCTGAGAAATCAAGGTATCCACACTAAAACAACACATTAGTTGAAGTGTGCACCACAAATGTGCTTTAACGCTAATGTAAGCGAAAAATAAACAAAATGTGCGCCATCTTTCAGGTAATGTGATAAGCATAACAGCAATCTATCAAATATCATGTACATTTATGACAATGAAGACGAAATGAGATGATGGCTTTGCTAGCGCCTTCACAAAACCAAAAATGTGTGATGAGTAACCATATAGTAAAAGTATCAACAACAAACCTTTCTCAGATTTGACTAATGTTCGCAATGTATCGAAAAGATTGCGTGGGCGACCTGGTTCGGATGATGACATTTTCAAATTGAATGTGAGGCAATAATATGCCAATCAAAAACCAAGTATGGTAGTCTTCTCATGCCATAGCTATTAGTAAATAATGTTATTGTCCTGTAGGGTTTTTCCCTAAAAGTTGTTTAGTCTAGTTAGACATCATGATTTATTTGGCGGTTGTGGCGAATTGTGCGTTGTTTTACACAGTCCTTAGAATATCTCAGCTGTACTTATGTTTGTTGTGGGAATAATCAACCCGCTAACTGTCCCTTTCATAACTTGTACACACAAGCCGATAAGATTCCTGAATTTGTGTAGCTTATCACACGTTATAGATCTAAATATTTTTTACCATGTGTTGTAGGTGTTATTGCCTTAATTAAGTTACTCATATTGTTCCATTCCGTAAATTGCACTTAGAATTGCTTTGCTGCTTAAGATGTACTCGTCAATTTTATCCCAGTCATCTAAAATCAAATATAACGTATCAAAAAGTACCTTATTATTAACCGGATGACATCAAATATGCTTCTTAGTATGCAGTGTTATCTCGATTCTGATTTGTTTTCATGAACCGATTTGAATGTTAGCGTAGAACTATTCCTATACTCTTATGTATGAAAAATGTTGCTCGATATATTTTTCACTTAGAAAGAAATAGTCAAATAGGGAGTGGACGTACTCAACCTCCCATTATTTATATATCTTAATGTTATTTTTATATATGGCAGTATCATATAGGGCTTAAATTGAAATGATAACTATTATTATTGCGCAAACATTTTGAATCTCTGGCTTGCGCATCGTCAACAGATAAACAACCACTGATATTTAATCAAAGACCATTCAACCAAACGTTTTTGTATACAGTCAGTGCTGCTAGCTGGTGCATGATCCACACAATGTGGACGTTTCTTTACACTAGCCCATATCACACTAAATTACATGTGGATCGCAAATGCGAGCAGCGTCTTATTAATTTCTTCGTTCTGACAACCAATGTAGAGCAAAGTCACTCGTTTAATAACTTGCAAGTTCTTGATATTTGTCTGTACACGTCAACGTCTAGCAGATGACAGGGAAATTAAAAATCTGTATGTCTAATATGACAAAAATAAACTTAGAGGACTTCTAGTTTTGGCTTCGTGTTAATAATGCGCAATTTAAAGAAAACGTCTATTATTAATATGAAGGCAATAAATCACATTTCTGTTTGTTTAATGAGAAACACTAAAAGCAGTACATTGAGGTGGGTCGAATGAGATTCTTATATATCTATGCACAAAGAGTTAACACTTGTTTATACGTTCATCATTATATATCTTGAGTTATCCTTTAATGGCGTAACTGAGAGTTCGGCACTAAACTACATTCACTTTAAATTCAATTGATAAAAACAACGAAGTGTTCAAAGCATTTCGTCAATTGTTCTTGGAGGGCTTTGAATCAATATTATGAAGTGAAGGAAACAATTGTCTGGATATCCGTCTAGTACATTTGTTTAGGCAGTACGGTATTCGTCCCATAAACTCAAATCTCCTTGCAGATTATTAATGTGAAGAAAGTAAACTAGTCACAGAATATCATGGGACAAAGCAGTATGACTGAAGTCGTCAGTCTCATTTCGCACCATATTCTTAGCTGGCCAAGTGTAACAAACCGCTGTTAAAAAGTAGCAGTAGCAATTCTTTGTAGTAGCTTTGGATTTCGATATTACCAAAAAGTAGCATTTACGTTGCCCTTTCTATGTGGATTCTTAGTGAACAGTCCTTTACACTATGTTACCTTAATCTATCAGACAAACTGACATATATTTCTTTTACATCTCAACGAGGAGTCATTAGTTGTTTCACTGGGGTATTATCATACATTTTCGAAGTGTAAATAAGAAGAGCCCTACTTAGAAATCGTTGTCTCATCCAGCTCGTTGTGTTTTGTCAGAAATACAACCGTCAGTTTCGTTTACTCTACTGTACATAGTTATTATTTTCCTGATTATGAACACAAAACAATGACCAGGTCTTTGTCCTCAATGCTTCATCCTGTTTACTTATGGGTAATCTGTAACCTGTCTTATGAGATAGAAGTTTGTTGCTCAAAAATACTAGTCGTTATTTTCAGTAAGATCTCATATTTAATTCCGCACAGGATTTAGTTGCGCTTGAGTTCTAAAACCATACTCTGTGATATACATTTGGTAAGGCAAAGACTAGAGACCATAATTTCGCATCTAATATTTTACTTTTAATGATGGAAAGCATAGTAAGATCAATATATTCGATATGCTTCTGCTTTTTCGCATTTTTGGTGGTAGTGATATTTGTTCATTACTATCAGAAATTGCTCAGACTTCTGGTCCTTGAAAACTGTATTCGTAAATAATTTGCTTGTTTGTTTACAAACTATTATCATCGAAAGAGACATCCACATATATTTGATTGTCTTCACAAAGATATTTTTCCGTTTAACGTAAAATTATATTCAGGCTTAGCGCATATCGGTTCGAACTTCACCACTTCGATAATAAGTGATTTCCAAATCAGTCAATATATTTTATCTTCAAAATAAAATTTGTAGTTTATTACATCGATAAAACTAAATTGAGTGGAAGCATAGAATTAAACAGTTGTGTGTTTCGTCTAACCCCTAAGACTGTTGACAACATACACATACGAATGTTAGTTAAATAGTAACTAAAGTACATGTACGTTTAGGTCTTTTTAGCTGATGGTTTTTTACTGCCCTCTTATCTGTATTAAATTAGTACTGTTAATTGACTTAAATAACTTTGCGATTACGTTACCTCCAGTGAGACGGTAAATGAGTCACGATACAAAGTGTTATTAAGTACGATTTATTTCAAACAAGCTTGTTCCCCAGACAGAACAAACGACATTGAAATGAATAAGTACTTGTAAGAATCAAATGAAAGTTGTAAGTATATATATGAATTATCACACGTGTGTATGAAAAAATCCTGAACCAAAAATGCAGGATCTAGCTTGAATGATAGATCAGGTAAATGTGAAGACACTCACAAACACATACGCGTACATAGATAAGAATTCGTAATAATTTGTGTATACAAAATAATTAATGAAGTCATGCATGACTCATCTCATTATTTTTCTTGACATTACTGAGAAATATCGGTTTTCAGAGCAACGGGAAAGAGTGAAATAGTCATTATGCAAAGTGATCAATGAGCTCAACTGGAGTTGGATACTGTTCTGTGACTTGATATTACGGTTCTTACTTCGATGCTAATAGCCATTCGTCAGATGCTTTAAAGTGACTTCGGTACGTGAATTTAGATTTTATTACATAGGTTACATGCTACAGAGATAAATCAATCTAAACAATCCTAGATACAATACCTTTTAGATAAATCTTCGGAGGACTGTATGTAGGCTTAGATATTTCCAGTGAAAATTATAACGCATGTGAACGAATGACGTTTCCGGTGAGATCATAATCGGGCTTAACTTTAATATACGTATTTATATGAAAATATTAAGCCAGTCCAGACAATTCTTGAGTCAATGATCATAATAAAATAATTTGCATAACTACTTTTGATAGGTAAAATATACAAGTCGATAGTTTGATTTGTCTATATAGGGTTTACTACCAATCGACTTAGCTAACGAATATGTGGACATCTCCCAGAATGGTTTGGAAAGAGCCACAGCTTTATCTTGTTACACCTTGTTGACAGTGATCAAGTGATAGCAAAGACCCAATCGCTCCGTGCGATCTATAGTACACCATCACTCCCCATTGGGGTAAGATCCCGTTTCCTACATGTAGCAGAGGCTATTAGAAAACTGACTAATTACCTCTATTTGTTCATTCTTCATCCTTTTTCGTTCACATTATTCACTACCTGTTTATTTACACACCTAACATTACATGGTCTGAGTGGTGTTTCGTGATCATTAGTTTATTTATCTAAATTTGTCCTATGTGTTTTAAAATATTGGCTAGAATTTTTACTATTCTTATCCCTACTGGTACAGCCGTTTTCTTACTACCAATTTATACTTATTACCTATTATGCCTAGTTATGCAATATATTTCACTGTGATCGTTGACCCGAAAATTACCTTGACTAGTTTAGCATTTTCATATAAATATCCATGTATATTAGAGTGAAGCCAGATAATGATCCAACTGAGAACAATATTATAGGTATCATTACCAGGGTTTGATTTGATAATTTCGAATAAATTGAGCATTGGGTAGATTGTTATAAATAAATAGTATATTTGTAATATCCCAATGAGTAGAAAAATTAGATTTCCTGTCGTTTCGTGACTTAGTGCAAGTCACTTCTTCTGAGAATAAATAACCAAATTAATATTACAAATATACTATTTATTTATGAGAACAATATTATCCGACTATATGTGTGTCGAATGTTATCCAACTTCATGACTAACGAGTATTCGAAGAAATTTTAGTAGCTGTATAAAATATTGGGTTGTATATATTATAGTAATTCAAATGAATCAGTTTAATGAAGTATTTGATAAAGTTAAATAAAAAGGGATAGTTCCTAGTCAATGACCGTTGTGACAAGAATAATTTCAAGTTGAAACAACAAAGTAGATTTCAGTACGAATAGATGGAACGTTCTGATTGACTAAAAACACGAAGGAATAAACATGATGATTTCATAGGAAGATTATGTAATATGAATAATAACAATAAACGATTGTCCAAATAGAAAGCATTGTAAAATTAATAATTTAGCAACGGATTGAAGTAAGATGATCAAAATATCTTGGTTAAAATAGTTAAACACCAGAAACAATTACGGATAAAATCATGAGGATATGGGACGTAAGGATAGAGTATGACGTTTTTAAAAACGAAATGAAATAATCATAATAGTTTGAGGCCAAGGTAACGATAATGACAAGACGTACACTTCTTTTGATGGCAATTTTACAAGAAATCTGTAACAGTTACTAACTGTAGTTCTTAATTCACTGGCTTTCCGTTGGTTTATCGCTGGATGGTAGCTGGCTGACTGATCGCTTGGTACTGCCGCGGCATTGAAATGAATGCTCATATCAGGACTCTTCAAAGTATTGTATACGAGACAACTTTCAAATCGATTTGGTTTTCTTATTGTCACTACTAAAGTTTACTGGTAGGAATCAACCGTTACCTCGACATACTGTGGTTTATACGAATATGTGCGACGGATGAAGAAATCCTGATAGGAACGCTGCGTGCTCAAAAGTAAATTGCCAACTAAAGTTGTTACCCAGCCAAATCTTTATTATGTACACCGAAAACTGACTAGCATACAATAGCAGCATAGTCGTAAGAAATACCACTTTCAAACTAACTGTATCACATTTAAATTGTATAGATAAGTATTGGCTCATGAAGGACAAAACAATACACTTGGAAATAAACCATATTGCGTGGTAACATTTACTTTTAGAAAAAATTCAAAATAGGACTTTTGGTCTTGATAAAGGCAGTCTGAGTAGGAGACAGTAGAGCAAAACAATCCAATCAACAAACATATATGAGATATGAAATGGCCAAAGCAAAAAAGTACAGGTAACAGCAGCGACAATAAGACAGAATACCAATTAGACTGAACCCTTTAAAAATCAAATGGAAATGGTTGTTCTCACGTAACCCACTGAAGCTAACAGGACATGCGCCGTTATATGGAGAAACAAATTATCTCAAATTTAGGATAGTTACCTTCCAGTGATATCTGCCTATCATCTAACGTTGCTTTATCTACCGAGGATTCCACGTAAGTGCTAGTAAGGTCTGATGACCATTGCCTCAATTTAGTACTATTTATTTTCAAATGGTTGTGGAGAATGTTTTATTAACGACTCACCATTAAAAGCTGACTATACTAGAACTTAAAAGTACCCCTTTGGTTCTTCCCAATTTATCTCAGACTGTCATTCAATACATTGATTTTATCTGAATTGCAAACGTGAAATTCTTGGTCGAAATGAGTTCAATTCAGCAATATGTACAGGGAGTACTTTGCAAACGTACTTACTCTTAATAGTATAGCTTAAGTAATGAGAATGTAAATATCTATCATGAATGTGTACAACTATCAAGAAAATAAGACGGAACATTATTAAACCATATGCACATACCCAAAAATCAATAAAGAAAGGTCTCGATAATACGGAATTGGAACGATACCTAATATATCATTCGAGGTTCTGCCATTAGTCAGAGAAAGCATGCCGTTACAGGTGTTGCACCAAAGATGCCTCAAGTGTGAAAATGTGGTATTGATTTAACTTACAATAATTTATAACATATCATACAATGTTAGCTACAGCTAATTTGATGTATACGGTGGGAGAGACGTTCCATTCATAGCATTTAACTAACTGTGTTGGAAGCAGCGGAAGGAGATAATAGTCGGGTGTCTGCACATTCCTTATTTCGTAAAAAGATAAGTGCTTTTTGAACTTTAACATTATTATTGAAAGTTTTGGATATCCTCGTTCCCTTTACTGGCTTGAGATAATGTGCCGGGACAATTCATCATGACACTCAAGTTTATGAGGAGTACATGTGCTGAAGAAAATCATACGATCAAAAAAATACACAATACAGTAGAGCACAGCACCAACGGTGTTGATTGAAACGATCGAAATTACGATGGAGCCCCATACATTACTGCTTAAAGTCAAGAACTTGTATGATTTTACCAATCATAAAAATTGCCAATATTTGGCCAGCAAAATGTTTGAAATTGACGAAAATGTAAACTATGCAACAAACGTGAGTATGACTGATTTAACTGAATGAAAAGAAATACCTGACCCTGATGCAGCCTGAGTAACAAAGTAACTGATGTTATTCTCTGCATATTTGAATGTGCCTATGAGGCTTACCATTTCTTTACTTCAAACCCTGAACCTAAGCGGCAAGGTTTTTAGGTTAGAAAAAAGAGGGACGATAAAGCATCATAGTTCGTGATAAGCACCCCACAAAATAACAACCCCAACATACAACTCTATTCAAACTTTTAATGTGTAAATTTAACCTTATTCCATAATGAATAATATAGTATGAGAAGTGTGATTAACCATAGAAAACAACTACCCTATTGTAATTTTATTGTTTTCTGCTATCGATTCTTACAACAATTCAGTATCATACCGACAGCATTACTAGTCTCTTAAAGATGTCAGTACAATACACATGAGTTATCCAACAATGATACTATCGAGAGTCAGTCAGTAACAACGCAGAACTTCGTACGTACGTACACCAGTCTAGTTGCCACACCACATTAGCACCGAGATGCAGTTGTCGATTTAAATCCCGTAGTGGTAGAGATAAGAGTATAAGCAGTGATCGGTAAGATTAAGTTTTGAAGATGTTATTTAAAGAGTATGATCCAGTGAAATAAATTTGGGAAGAGAAAAAGAGATAAGGGGGAATCAGGAGATTAGAATTTTGGAGAACACAAAGAATGTATGCACCTGCGCCATTGCAAACGATTTTGAGCCATATTCTCGATACTATCGAGAGTGCGAACCCAATTGCTGTGATCACTCCTCCAGTGTGATTATGACGCAACATGTAAATGCATGATTAAAAAACTGCTCCTGTACCTAAAAGTTAAACATTCTCAGAGTTAATTCTGAATAAGTCTCTTATTCACCCTACTTAACAGCCACTTATCAACCTCATAACGCACCAACCAATTGACGCGCTGTGATTTTCAGTCTTCAGTAATAAGGATAGTAGGTTGGTGAACCTGTATTAATCCTGACACATTGCTTTCCAGTGAAGATCCAGCTTCTCCTTGAAAGTATTCACTGATGAGGCTGATACCACTTATTCGGGTAAAGCGTTCCAGTGACTGACTACTCGATGAGAAAAACGGGACCTCACTTTAAGTTTATTAGATCGTGGTTAATAAACCTTCTTGCTATGACCTCGGAGATTATTAGTGTTAGAAGGAGCAAAAAGATAAGACATATTAACACCCAAATCATAAATAAAGATACGAAATGCCAGTATAAGGTCACCTCGTGTCCTACGATACGACAAGGTGAAAAGATTTAGGCGTTTTAAACGCTCATCGTAAGGGAGTCTAGAAAGACCCTTCACTAACTTCGTTCCCACACGCTCAAAGGAGTTAATATCCTTTACCAAACAGGGGCCAGCTGCTTGGATACAGTACTCTAAATGTGGTCTTATATATATGGGATATAAAATTCGAAACGTTTCCTCGTCAAAAGATTTGAACGCTCGGTGAAGTGACCATAATGCACGAAAACCTTTGACAGCGGCTGCTTTGCAGTGCTTAGTTGTTTTTAAATCATGATTTAATACTACTCCTAAGTCCTTATGCTCCTGAACGCATGGAAGAGGTTTACCCTCAACAGTGTAACGGTAACTATTACTATGACCGATGTGCATTAGTATACTCTTCCTAGCATCGATTTCTAAGCCCCACTCTCGAGCCCATCTAACTAAATCGTCTAAGTCAGCTTGAAGATCCAGATGATCAGTCGCACTTTTTATTGTTCTGTAGATTTTTACGCCGTCCGCAAGCAATGATGTCGACGACCTAAGCAACAGCGGTAACTCATTAACGTGGAGAAAGTAGAGCAGAGGGCCTAAGATGGTGCCTTGGGGTACACCACTCTTGACCGGCTTCCAATCGGATAGCGTTCCATTGACCTTCACTCTCTGTCTGCGGTCACATAAGAAATTTCCTATCCACCCATGTACAGTACCTACTATTCCGAAGATCGTGATCTTCTGCATAAGACCTACGTGTGAAACCTTGTCGAATGCTTTGCTAAAATCTATGAATATCACATCGACAGACAGACCGTTATCTAGGGCTGCTGTCCAATCCTCCCTCGCAATAAGCAAGTTAGTGAAGCATGAACGCTGGTTACGAAATCCGTGTTGCTCAGTAGCTAACAGATTGTGTAAATCTATGTGGCTTAGCAACCTAACCCGAATTATCTTTTCAAGTAACTAAACGACTATGCTAGTTAGACTGACAGGCCGGTAGTTAGGTACTATCTGTCGCTGAACGTCCTTAAATATAGGACTGACTATAGCGTCTTTCCAATCTCTAGGGAGTTGAGCGAGTGAATGGGACATGTTGAAGAGTGTCGCGAGCGGTTTTGAAATAATGTCCGCAAGAGATGACAGCAACCGTGGATGTAACCCGTCAGGGCCCGGTATCCTACCAGGTTTGAGGTTAGTTATCAATGAAAGGCAATTTCTTCAGTTGCCTGTACAGATTCAATGGTTGGTATCTCGGTGTGAGTGGGACAAGTATTTGTTACAATAAACGTAGAAAAGACTTCGCTAAAATAGTTCGAAAAAGTCTCAGCTTTTGATCGATCTGATTCAGCTAGAAATTCTGAATTTTCGTGTAACAGTAACGAGGGAATACCATCACTACGTTTCATTCGCCATTTAACATACGAAAACAATCGTTTCGGACAAGTACAGCTATCATATACTAACTGTCGTTCGTAAATGGTACGGGATTTGGCTATGGTTTTGTTACAGATATTACGGAATTTTTGGTACTCATGCTTAAATGGTGCATGACCTGTCAACGAGAATAAGTCCCAGAAATGTTTCCTACGCTTTAACAGCTTCCGGGTTTCCTTATTAATCCATGGAGGGCAATGTGATAGCTTACGTGCTGACCATAAGATAAACGGCGACGTTACGGACTCGAATGTAGCCTTAAACTTATTCCATTCATCTTCGATCAATCCATCCGCGTCGACCGACCAATCAGTCGAGATAGCACAATTTCTGATTTCCGGAATATTGGCTCGTCAGATATTGGGACGGTATGGAGCGGATACGAATTGTATACCATGTGTCCTAAACTTAAAGTGGATTACAACGTGATCACTGTTAACTAGTGGGAGAAGGTGCTGAATATCAAAGACATCCTCACGGTGGTGGGTGAGGGCGACATCCGGCAGTGACGGATCATGTTGCAAATCAATATGTGTCGGTTTTGTGATACATTGTACAAGTGCACACTGAATAACGGTAGATAAAAGGTCGCTATCGAAACCACTACCTGGAGCTGTAAGCTCTATCCAGTTGATATGCGGTGCGTTGAAGTCCCCAATGATGAGACGACATTCTGCCATACTCCGAGAACTGATGTGTCTTAGGATAAAGTCGCCAGCAAGACAAAACCGACTACGGTATATTCCCTCTATAGTCACTAATCCATTTCTAGATTTAATCTTACAACATGCAACCTCACATGTGCCACTGATATGAGCCTCCGATATGGTTGATTGTATAGGAAAGTGATCCCTAACGTAAAATATTATGCCTCCCCCTTTGCGACTTGAAACTCTATCACTTCTAATACAGATGTGGCCTGCAATGAAAGGAGAACAGTCTATATCTACTGTGAACCAAGTTTCTGTAACAACAATTATATCGGGATATGATTCTTCCACCATCGGACTTAGCTCGGACGTTTTATTTCTAAGACTACGAGCGTTCGTGTAGCACACACTTAAGGTGTTTTGGCAATCAGTCGTTCTACCCATACAGGCCTCGGAAGCATTGGCTTCCAAGACCTGACTACCCGAAAACCCTCAATGGTAAGGTTATTTTCGCCATTTAATTTGCGAGTCCCCAACTCCGTAAGAGCATTCTTCCACTTGATTCGATCCTCAAGCGGCCAATCTGGTCGAATACGGATATTTAAGTCACGCGTTTTTAGTGCGCTTTTCAACAATATGTCTTTTTCTTCAAAACTCTCGAGAACCAGCTTCAGAATTCTTCTTGGTTGCGTCTTGCCTCCAACCCATTTACCAGGTCGTATTGCTTTTGTTATATGTACCCCTGAAACCTCTTCAGGTATTACATTTCTTACCACAGACTCCACTAACTGCAGGTCATGTGCATGTTTTCTAGTAGGGTCGTTGTCTTTCGACTCCTCTAGATTCCAAATAATTAAACTAGGGAGGGGTTTAGCTTCTTTTGAAACTGTGTTCACAGCTTTCGACCGTGACGTTAGATCCTGTATTATAACTACTGGTATCTTACGATTAGTTTTTATTGTAACAGAGTCCTGGGAGTCGAGCGAGTGACTCACAACAATGTTAGACGAAGCTTTACTATGGGACTTGGTCTGAGAGTCCACCAAAGACTTATCAAGTAAACGGTCATTAGTTTCAGATGCCTTTCCTACTCTTCTGCGTTTTCGTGTCATCCATTTTCCATCAGTCGAAACGTCTACATTAGAACAACTCGGGACAGTAACTGTCTTATCTGGATCACTAGTCGCAGCTGTAGCAATATGGCCACCAACGTTTAATGAGGTGTCACTCACTGATCGTTTCGGGGGAGAACGTTTAACTGCGTGTTGCGTAGGTAGATGTCTGGCTCGCGTCGTGACAGCACTTACGACACTAACGCAATCCTCGCCATCAGTACTAATGTTACCAGTACGGCCCTCATCAACCTTCTTATTAGCCAACATCAGGAGGCTAACTGCTTCCTGGATGAGTAATGTTTCGCTCGAACAACAAAAACTACAAAGAAAATGAGAGTTGGGCTTTGAGCACCTTTTATATGTAGTGGGGCCTAATCGGGTGCACATCTTATGGAACCACTTATTACAATCATCACATTGCATCCTTTCCTCCACGGGAAACAAGCAATATGTTTGTCGACCTTTATGGGCAGATCTAGCCATCTTGAAAATCAACTAGAATGGTGACGAAAATGGGATATGTAAAAGGATTCTCAAACCTTAACTAAATAAATCAAGTAAAAGTCGACCAAGTATGCTTCGATTCAATAAATACACAAAAGTAAAATCGAAACACTCAATACAATATCACTTTAACTGAGGTAGATGCAATTAAAGTGTAAACATTAGTTTTGATGCGTAATTTACGATCAAAACTGTTAATTAACTCAACGAGAAACAATACCACTGTCCTTTTAAATAGAGCGCGTTACTTTTGTGTAGTGATGACAGAAAGCCTGTGTTATTCATTTTTTAGTATGCTATGGATATTCAGTGCTTTAAAACGCTATTACCTGTAACTCTTCATTAATCCGAAACTCAGTCAGACGGACGAGCACTATTAAAAAAGGACAGTGGTTTTTCACTTCTGAGTATATTTCATGGTATTGATCGTTAAATTACTCATCAAGACTGTTGTTTTTGCTTTAGTTAAAACTTATATCACTTAAAGTGATCTCCAAGAGTATTGTTTTTTTTAGAGAAGTTTATCACCTGTACTTTACGAGTACAGACAGAAAAGGAATAAAGGCACTGGTATTTATTCTTCGTCGTTGAGTATATCTTTGCGTACTGTTTGTATCCATAGATGTTAAGGTCTTTTCTGTAACCAATGAAATCGGATGCTTATATTGTTGTCAGGCCCATCTGGTTGTATATAAACATGAAACAAATTTATGGCGCAAACGAGACATCGTTGTGGCCGACCTGTATGTTTTTTCCTTATCGATGATGGGATACAATATGATAGCTACAAGAAGTGGTATCACAATGAGTGTACCGGACTCACACTGTCTGCATGTAAACGGTGCTGCAAATAATGATGTTCTACAAAGTCTTTGGCCATTTTAGAGGCGATTGAGCCGTTGAACATGGCTAGAAAACTGCCCTCGGATAAATAGGCAGCAGTTTATAAATAGAATTCCGCTTTCGATAAGTTTGAGAGCGTTGTCATGAGC